GATGTCAGTGGCGTTCGTGCTGTCAGTTTCCAGATTGCCTGATCGAGCGCTTGGAGGTGTGGGCACCTCAGAATGCTTGACGTAGGCCAACACTATGTCCCCTACCTCACCCACCTTTTCTCTTCACTTTAGGGTTTTAAATATAGTTAAAATAACCTTATGGTTGTACGGCAGTGAAGCATCAGTGTTAACTTTGATTTTGCTGTCTTTGATGATATTGATGGACCAGATGTGGAGCAGCGAGTCTCCATACTACGAATAACCATCATTTGAAGCACAGGAGATAAATTAGTGATTTTATCTGCGACAGCATCGTGAAGACGGTTGGATCTCTCTTGAAGATGAGTAGCATTTTCATATCTATGAGATCAGTGAGACAACCCTTCCCCGAGGACGGGTAGGTCAGAAAGGTCGACCATAAATGCCGCGCACTCTGATCACTCAACGGCTTGTGATGACCGGCTGAATTACCGATGAGGCCCAAGTATATCTGAAATCTACCGAGAGTCTGATAAGGCTTCAAACGTTTCTGTTGTGCGCAGTGTTATGTGGAGTGAGACGTCTTTGCTTACACCATCGGGGTTAAGCCAATCCCCCACAGCCAAGCGGGTCAAAATATTGAATCACCGGCTCCGGGCATGATCCCCCGTAAAGACTCTTCTATCCGCTGGCTGGTTAGTCAAATGTTTGAATCAAAGGCTATGGTCGGGGGTACCAGGACAAAACCCCACATCCTCCCACTGCATTGTGGGTCAAACTTCTAGGTCAAATGCTGTAGGTGGGGCACCTCAAACAAATGCCTTTCCTCAACCTGGGCAACCAGTAAGTATCATTACCCTTCTTCACCCATCCAATGGTAAATCCATTGCCAATCCCCCAACAGTGTTTTTTGTCTAACTTGTCGCGCAGCAAACGAAACGGAAACAATCCCCTACCAAACTGAGAAGGTCTGATCTAGGTCGCAGCCTTCGATGACCGTACTCCGTCAAATTTGACAATAGGTGTCTCTTGTTGAAACCTTGCTTTCCTCTTCTATTTGAATTCTGGTGATCCTGACATCACATCCCATGGTATCTATGACGTAAGAATTGCGCTCATCTACGAGGCTAAAAACACGGAATCCCAGTAAACAGTCTTATTTGCGCTTTGTTGTCTGATGCCAGACAACCGATCAACGCAGGTCAATGCAGTGAGCGGTGTTTGTCATGTCCAAGTTGGACGACTAAGCCCGGAAGAAGCGCCAATAGTGGTAGATTGAGAGTCCCAGCAGTGCCCATCATGCAGACAGTGAGGGGTGACGTCGTCTGCTCCTGGCCACTTCGAACTTCCAATGCAAGCACCACCAAATACAAGCCATTCATGGGCTCATTTGGATCATGTGACTGTCAGTTACCGATGGAGGGCCTCGATTAGAGATTGCTCTTCCTTCTGGGATATGCAACTTGATTCAGATATATCATTGGTCTCGATATCAGTTCGCTTTCCCTCTTGATCACGTATGCCTGAGTGGAGCCGTTGATCAGCTTTGACAAGTTAGTTGCCTTTAGGAAAAAGAAACTGTCCCACGTTCCGTAAGTTACATTAGTCAGGAAATGTACTCTGCATGATAGAGGACCGTCTGTCTCGCAGAGCATTCCTGCCCAGTCTTGTGCTGAATGGAATCTACCGAGAGGTGGACAGTCTATCCTTGATGAGAATGTGCTAACCGCTAATCGGGTTGGCAACTGCCATCCACTTCGATGAGAACCACGAAATCCAGCTCATCGGTAGTTAGTGACACTGGTAGGCGTGGCTGGCTCACGCAATCAGTCAGTCCACCGGAGACGACAACATCATTGTTAATGTTGATACTCCAATAAGTCCATTTGATTATATTTAAAATCCTGAAGTGAAAAGGAGAG